CCAAATCTGCAACTTCCCGAAATGCCCCTGATCCACGTTCAGGCAAGGCACCAGCTTCTGAGCGAACTGGCTTGCCACCTTTTCCTTGGTCACATGGGTATTCAGGGAATCACAAATCTGGGCCTGATGCAACAAAACCATCAACAAGTAGGACCACTTGCCAAGGCAAATGGGTAAGGGTGAAAAACATCTCTACTGCTCAAGAAGGGTGCCCTAATTTTGCAGTAGATTTGGAATCTCTAACTTATGATCACAGTCTAGTTCCATCCGGAGCTCAACCGTCTGTGCTACCTGAAAGTGGGAGTCAGATCAAATATTCTTCCGGAGCTCAATATGGTGAACCCGTCCGAAGCCAAAGTCAGAGTCAAGTTCCTTCAGAAGGTCAACCAACTGGTCTTTCAGATAAAGGTCTTGCTTCAGAGAATGGTATTCTTTCATCAGGAGGTCAACCAACTTGCTCTACTTCCCACATTTCTTCAGGTACATTTCTAGATTGTAAACCTTGTGGTTTACATTTCTCTTAGAAAATCTGTAACTTGAGATAGAGCCTTTTTGTTATCTGTTAAAAAGAAAAAACCAGTGTGATTAAAAAAAATCAGGCCGAACGGCCCCTAAAATATCTTTTGAGTAACATGGATATATTTTTAAACTTTAACTACTTTGACCTTAACAGACGAACCATCTCCAAGGTGCTTAACTGCTGCACGGACACTATGTGAAATTGCAACACGATCTGGGAAGGGCAGAACAAACGAAACAGCGAAGTGTATAAAGAAACCTACTCAAATGTCAGCGAGAGCTCCAAAGTTGAAGTTGAATGAGAGGCCAGAAAAACCATTTGTAGCAGCAAAGAGTACGGATATGGCCAGAGTTTGTGATGGGATGCTTCCCCCCAAAAAGCCCAAACTAATGTTGGGCGCGGAGCGAAACGAAAAACCTGTTCCAAAAAACTTTGACAGGAAACATTGGTCAGCTCCACGATCAGTTAGACCGTCCCCAAGCAAATATTATAAATGCACAACAAGTGCAGAAAAAGAAAGTCAGGATAGCCGCTTTGTAGATACACTATATATGATGGAGAAGGGTTTTAGCAGTCGGCAAAAGCCATTCAAGTAGCAAAATTGAGGACTGAAGTTCTTCAACACACAAAGGGGAGTATATCAAGATTCATTCACCTTTTAACTGTTAGATCTCACTTAAACTTGTAGGCTTATGTGTATATACAATATATATATATGTCTGTGTGTGTGTGTGTGTGTGTATATATATATATATATATATATATATATATATATATATTCTGTCTGTATGAAGGAAGGAAGTTGGCATGGCCTTGATCTTTCTTGATATCAGGAAAAGAGGCAGGCTTGCCCCTGTTGTATCATTATTTTGTTTAATGCAATCTGATCCAAACACAAATTTCCAAGCAAATATTCTTCCATGCTAAGAAGCGTTTGTAAAAAAGAAAGGTATAGTTAATGGGTATATGCTCTCTATAGTGTCTATATACACCACAGAAGGTTCTCTGATTGAAAGATATGTTGAATGTCATGCTCAATAGTATATGTGGAAGGAAGCATTGTTGTCAATGGATTATTGTCTGAATAAAGTACCTCATAAGATTTTTACTAAAACTCTTTATGAAGTATTGAATATTGATGGGCTCATCTTTTCCTAACTGTTTATAAGCTCTTAGGCCCCGTTTGGTACACGGAATTCAAACTATGGAATTGGAATTGAAGACATCAATTTCAATTCTGGTGTTTGGTAGCACAAAAATTGTGTGGATTTGGAATTGATAATACAAAAAATGAATTGGAATTGATGAATTCAATTCTATGGAATCGAACCCCATGGAATTTCAATTCCAATTCAATTCCAATTATATCAATTCCGTATACCAAACGGACCCTTAGGGAAATTGGGACATTTTTGTTGTGCTTTAGCTTTCTTAAGTGGATTGTGCTGAAGAGAGTCAAATTTGGGCAGTTTAACAATGTGATTTATACACTTTCATAGGCAAATCAATGGTTGAAATGTGTCATGAGTTCAGGGTTCAAAAGTGCAGGATATGGAGACAAATGGAAGCAAATCCAAAGCTAAGATGTGATACATAATCAAGACAACATTTCAATGTAAAATTGTCCAAAGTGTTTCAAGTGTTGTTGGTAAGATAGCTCAATGTGCTACCTGGGAAGAGCAATGCAAGGGAAATCCGAATTATAAGAATGAAGGCAAAAACTGACATTTACGGGCACTTCTGTAGAGATAGTTATTGTCTGTATTTGCTTTTCGTATATAAAATGGTATTAAAAGTGGGATTATCCAAGCTTTTTCCACCCGTGGAAAGAGCAATGACAAATGAAGAGGTGAACTTATTCATGTTAACAAAAACAAAGAAAGTGATAAGTGAGTGAAGAGTAATAAAGAGCCTAAAATTGCTACAATTTGGTCATTGACCATAACTTTTGATCTAAATGCTCAGATGAGGTAGTTCAAGAGTATAGAAGAGATGTACAATTTTAATGAATGCATCAACGCATTGGTGAGAGAAGAAGCAACCTACGTAATTGAGCATCGATTGGTTTGGAACGCTTGTTTGCTATCGCGGTTGATTGTTAGCTCGACGTAGGAAACAATAGATTCTCAATTCATTTCTACTGTTTTCATTTCTCAATTCATATCATTTGTTTTATACTTCTACATTTATTTTCTGTAATCTATATTTTTATAATGTGTACGATTAATTAAAGAATCTACTCTCCCAGTTCAAAAATAATCTTCTCATTCACTATTCACAGAGTCAAATTTTATTCACTTTGTTCATCTATTTTCTTTGCCCAATTGATAAAATGATATAGGTTGCGTTCCGTTCAACTTATTCTTTTTGCTTATTACTTATTTCTTATTATAATCAGATCATATCAGCCTAGATCAGATCAAAAATAACTTTAATTATAACTAAAATGAGATCGGATTAAACCAGACCAGATCTTTGAAAAATCAAATCAGGCAAACGGAATGCAGCCATAGTCATATCATTACTAGTTCTATAGATCTTTTGATATAGTTTTTAAGTATGTAATTTTTATTTTATAATTCCACATCATATCTCGTCTAAAATGATTTGAAAATAACTTCAATCAAAAAATTTAACGTACAACGAGAAGATAATTTTTGGCTGGAGTGTGTATTTTTTGTGTTTTACGTGGTGTCTTGTAAATTTGTTATTATATTTGACATATTGTATTTGTCCAGTTTAACTTTCTCGAGTCAAATAAGATGAACTTTGAGTTTGAATAAAAAAATTGGTAGTGCATATTAGTATAAAAATGATTTTATTAAATTTAACTTGTTGAAAGTTTTCAAAATTTCATTTCATTATATTAATATGTAATACAAATTGAGAGTAATTGAAGCTCAAAAATTGTCTAACTTAACTCAAAAAAGTCATACAAAACAGAGATAATATGTAGTACTTCGCATTTGCCTAGGACTTGAACAAATATTTAAGAGATAATATGTGAAGGTCCATTTTCCATCATCTCCGATGGAACCAAAATTTCACCATTTTTTGGCTTTGGGGTGTGATGGAATAAATCAAAATGGATCTCTAAACTGTCTGTGCTTCTTTAATTAATGAAGTAGCAGTTAGTCAAGCAATGCAACTTTCGACGTTGAGCCGGGGGTCTCTTTGGAAACAACCTCTCTACTTTCGAGTAGGAGCAAGGTCTGCGTACACACACCCTCCCCAGACCCTACTCTTGTGGGATTTAACTGTTGTTGTTATGTGAAGGTCCAAATGGAGGTCGAAATTCATGAAATAGATGAGAAGAATGATAGCACTAAATTGATCTGCACGAATGATAGTACTAAATTGATTTACACACTTTTAATTCACCTTAGTGCTTAGTATCTAGTCTTATACTCCAATAATCATAATTGAGGTATACAATAAGACTCCTAAATATGCAGTCTTAATAGCCAATTTAAGAGATAACAATTAAGAAGGGGATAAAAATTGAATCATTCAAAAGAGTAAACACACTTATGTCTTAAATCACACAATAATGAGATTACAAGGCTTAAATGTCTATTTGTACAGAGAACAAAAGAACTAAAATGATTAACTTTACATGAAGAGAAGATAAATTAAAGTGTGAAAAAACACAATTAATTTCATACACCGCTTTAGCCTAGGTTTCATAGAAAGTACTTAGACACATTATTAATTACGTAATAACAAACGATGGAGGAGAAATCATAAGCCCCTTGCTCCATTAATTGGAAAGGATTTTGATGAGTGATGTATGGGCATATAGTTAGGTATTTTTGATGTAGAAGTTTCAGTCTATGTACATGACAATGACTCTAGATGAAGATGTATTGACTTTTGTGGCACAAAATGACAAACTGTTACTATTCAATTGTGGACTTTGTGGCACAAAATGACAAACTATTACTATTCAACTATGGACTTCTCTTCCTCTTGCTTTTTGGCCCGCATGTGGAGGAATATGAATAAATGATTTGATCTTGTAAAATGACTCATTTTCAAAATTTTCACTTATTTTGCATTCCTTATATTTTTTTTCACTTGAGGAGTAATTTTGTTTTATTCATTTTAATATCGAAATAATAATTTTGAGTTTGGGTTTGGATTTGGTTCAGCCCAGCCTGTGTATATCATTTGTAGTTGTACACTTTTTTTATATTTGTAATATATATTAATTATATTTTCAGAATAAGCTATTCCGTAATTAAAAAAATTGGATCTAGAAACAGGGTCCAACTCCAAACCGGACCGGATTCTGCTTAAAGACCGGACCATACAAACCACTGTTTGACCAAGAGCAATGTTACGTTCACAAATAGAATGGTTACCAACTTCACCAACTTACCATTTATGATTTAAATTTTCATTTTAAAATTATTTTAGACTATTTAAAAAATTTTATTCAAATTTACTATTTACAAATAGTAAATTTGTGAATTTTGTAGCAACTTTTTCTCTTTGACCAACTATCCCTTTATGACGGACACTGTCTTCCTCAATAGAAAATGCGGTTCCAAGCAACTCCGGCGAAGTAGAAAGGCAACTGCCCGTCGGCGAAGATGACCGGCACGGCGCTATCAGCTCTCGGCGCACCTTTCAGTGAAAACGCCGGCGGCGTCGGAAACTCATCGAATGATTCGTATCTGAACTCTTTCCGCATCTCTGCCGCCGCAGGTCGATTAGCTCTGCATGTTTCCCCGCAAGAAATAAACAACGTCGTAGAGTTCTGCCAGCTCTGCCTTGCCCTAGCCAGGTTCATTTATTCCGAAACTCTCCTTCTTTAGCAATATATTTTCTGTTTTGAAGTCCAGATATTGATGAATGAGTCCCGGATATTGATCCAAAATCTGGAATTTTTCATTATCTTTTCCCTACCCTTAGCAAATTCTATAATCTTTACTATTCATAAATATTTCTGTAAGACTAAAGTGTTTTCATGGATACCTCAATTTTATACTTTTTTTTTGTTTTGTTTTTTAACCTATTCAGAATTGATTGACTAAAATTTAGGTTCTCCACTTCTATGGATATCAGGCATGCTTAATCAAATGAAGTTTAGGAGAGTTGCAATAGGGGGAAATAGAGACTTGCAATAGTTCTTTTCTATATGCTTCAGGAATATATTAGTTAAATTCCGTAGCCTGGCAGTTGGCATAAACGAAAAAGGTCTTGTATGCCAATTGATAGTCATGAGCTAAACTCCAGTCTCCCCACTTTAGTAACTGCTAAGGGTTTTCCTTTAGAAAACTTGTGTGGTGCACTGGTGCCATGAGCCCATGACAGGGGTTTGGGCCAGGATTTTCCTCCGGATCGCATAACAGCAGTGGAGTCTCTCCAGGACTTGGTCCAAACGAGTTTCCCAGTATGACTGTATGAGTATTAGAGAAGATACTTGAGCACATTTAGCCTAGTTTTTTAACACCTTGTACTGTAACTATTTAAAGAGGGGGTCCTTGCCGCTCATGAGTGTTCTTTGAGAGAGTGAATCCAAAAAGCATTTGAATAAAGAAAAAGACATCCCACAGCAAAAATGTGGTGCAAATGTATAATCTATGCAAATGATTTATTTTTATTTGAGGATTTATAATGTGGTGTGCCATATTGTTATCCGTCTCAACAACAACAACAACAACCCAGTTGAATCCCACTACACTAGGGTCTGGGGAGGGTGTGTGTACGCAGACCTTGCCCCTACTCGGAAGTAGGGAGGCTGTTTCCAAAGAGACCCCCGGCTCAACGTTGAAAGTTGCATTGCTTGACTAACTGCTACTTCATTAATTAAAGAAGCGCAGACAGTTTAGAGATCCATTTTGATTTATTCCATCACACCCCAAAGCCAAAAAAATGGTGAAATTTTGGCTCCATCGGAGATGATGGAAAAGCTCATAAATTTAGATTTGCTTTAAATTTAATGTGGTCAGCATGCAAAAAATATCTACACACAAACTGCTTTGTGGGGGTATAGGTTACAAGAAAGGATTAAATTTGTGTTAAACATTAAGGTGCAGTAAAAAAGCATTGTTTCTTTTTGTTTGTGTATGTCTTAAAAATTTACAGAACCCTGAGTTCTGTTAGTTTGTAATGCTGGTCACATTGTGTGACCTAGATTCTTCAAGGGAACATGACTCGCTTTCTTGAACCTGCACACCAATTATGGGTGCATTGTCAGTGCATTAAACTTGTTCATTTTAGTTCCCATCTTAATATTTGATGAATACTATGTATATCCCTATTGAAGCTATGACCTTCATTTTAATTCCTCATTTTGACTCACTGACAGAAATTATGACAGAAATTAATTCCACCTGCACCAGGTTTCCATTTAACACTGTTTCAATGTTATATTAAATCTTACCGATGGGTGTTGAGTCAACATATTTATACTACCTCTGTACCATAATTATCTTCCTACTCTCCTCTTTGGGTTGTCCCAAAATTTTCTTAAAAGAAAACAAATATGTGGTCCATATCATTTCTCTTTATTCTACACAAACCACAACCACACACGTTTTACTTTATTAAAAATCATGTTAAGTCAACTAAGAAGAAAATTATGAGACGGAGGGAGTATTTTTCTTAGTGAAAGTGTGAAACTGCATCTTTGAATGAATTTAATGGTGCATATAAGCTTAACTGTGGATTATAATATATACTATTCCAATCAATGTTTTGAATTGTTCTTTTAGAAATTACCAGTGGTTGATTTTTATATCTCGCTAGTCAACAATCAATTTCTAGTATGGATTTCTATGTTTTTTTTATTTACCAAAAGTTTGTCCATTCACATTCAGTTTTGCTGACCATATGCTCTGATTATTGCAGAGGCATTGACCGTGCTCTTTCTAGCCATGATATTCCCAACAAAGCTTTTGAGTTACCTTCATTGTTTAAGCAGGTTCCTTACCACTTCAAAATTTGACATTCAAATTAAATATACCGTCTTCTAGAAAAACATCTAACTATCTTACGATCTCATTTGCAAATTTTCCATTCTATATCATCAAGGTGGAAAAATAAGGAAATAATTCTAAGAGAGACTCGTGCTCTAAAAATCCCTACCTAGCTCTGCCCGTGCTTAGGTAGGCCTCACTTAGCTGCCTACAATTTATTCCTGCCTAAGATTGTCTAGGCCTCCAAAATTCCAACCTAAGCACGTTCAGGCAGCTTTGGTCCCTAAGGGACACCTAACAACAACAACAACAACAACCCAGTTGAATCCCACTACAGTAGGGTTGGGGAGGGTGTGTGTACGCAGACCTTGCCCCTACTCGGAAGTAGGGAGGCTGTTTCCAAGAGACCCCCGGCTCCAACCTGCACAAAAAATATGATAGGGCACAATAGAACACAGATAAAACACCAAGTACAATGGAATGAAAGTCCTGCAAGCAAAAGCAAAGGATTCCAACCAAACAAAACACACTACAAAAAACCTCTAAGGCACCGGGCCCCTAACCAGCTATTCTAATCCTAATTCTCCAAAGGTTCCTATCTAAAGCCATATCCTCAGTCAGGGCGAGAAGTCCTAAATCCTGCCTAATCACCTCCTTCCAATTCTTCCTAGGTCTACCCCTTCCCCTACTTCCCCCGATGACCGTAATCCTCTCGCATCTCCGTACATGGGCGTTAGCATTCCGCCGTCTCACATGACCAAACCATCAACCTCGCTTCCCGCAGCTTATCTTCCACCGGCGCCATGCCTACCTGACGTCGGATAACTTCGTTCGAAATCCTATCCAACCTTGTCTTTCCACACATCCATCGTAACATCCGCATCTCCGCCGCATGCAGACGACGCACATGGGTCATCTTAACTGCCCAACACTCTGCCCCATATAACATAGCAGGTCTGACTACGGACCGGTAGAACTTACCTTTCATCTTGGGCGAAATCTTCGGATCACACAACACCCCTGAAGCCAACCGTCATTTGGCCCAAGCCACTCCAACACGATGCCCAACATCCCCGTCTAACTCCCCATCAGCCTGAACTACCAAGCCAAGATACCGAAACTTGTCCACCTTAGGCACTAGGTGAGAGTCAAATCCTAACTTCCACTTCTGATTCCGTTTCCCGACCGCTAAAATGACATTCCATGTATTCAGTCTTGTTCCTACTTATTCTGAATCCTTTGGTCTCAAGGGCAAGGCGCCATCGTTCCAACTTATCGTTAAGTCCCTTACGCGTGTCGTCGATAAGCACAATATCATCCGCAAAAAGCATGCACCATGGGACCCCTTCTTGAACACCTTGTGTCAGGACGTCCATCACCAAGGCGAACAAACAAGGGCCAAGGGCAGACCCTGGTGCAACCCCATCCCCATCGAGAATGACTCGGAGTCGCCCCCGGAGGTCCTTACCCTAGTCCTAGCCCCACCGTACATATCTTAGATCGCGCGAGTGTACGCGACGGGAACTCCTCTCGACTCAAGGCACCTCCATAAAACCTCCCTTGGCACCCTATCGCACACCCTCTCAAGGTCAATAAACACCATATGAAGGTCCTTCTTCCTAGCCCTATACTCTTCCGTTAACCTCCGCACGAGGTGAATGGCCTCTGTAGTCTATGTGCCACGCATGAAACCAAACTGGTTCTCAGATATGCATACCCTTTTCCGCACCCTATACTCAATGACTCGCTCCCAAACCTTCATGGTGTGGCTAAAGAATTTGATGCCTCTGTAATTCTCGCAACTCTGAATGTCACCCTTGCCTTTAAACAGAGGGACCAAAAGACTTTCCCTCCACTCATCAGGCATCCTATCTGTCCGGAAGATAACATTGAAGAGTTTGGTTAACCAAACCCACCCACCACGACCCGCATACTTCCAAAACTCCACCGGAATCTCATCTGGTCCAGAGCTCTCCCACTACGCATCACGCGGAGAGCCCGAACCACCTCTTTCAGGCAAATGCACCGGCAATACGCACGAGACGCCTCAGAGCCCCAGCTCATCAAGATCAAGCCTCTGGTCTCCTCCCGCATTTAAGAGTTCACAAAAGTACTCCCCCCAGCGCTTAGCCACCTTGACAGTCTCAACTAACACTCTACCATCGCTGCCCTTCACGCATCTCACGTGGTCCAGATCTCGGGCCTTCCTCTCCCGCACCTTAGCAAGCCGGAACAGTTGATTAACACCGCCTTTCTCTTCTATATCCTTATAGAGGCGTTCAAAGGCGGCATTCTTTGCCCTCGTAACCTCTAACTTAGCTTCTTTACGTGCCTTATTGTACTCCACTCGTAACGCTGCTCTTTCCTCCTCAACATTTCCTCTTCAACAACAGATAAGCCACCTTCTTGGCTTCCACCTTACTTCGAACTGAGTCACTCCACCACCAATCACCCTGATGCCTACTCCTAGAGCCAGAGCTCATACCTAACACTTCCCTGGCTGCTTCCCTGATGCAGTTGGCAGTTTGCGCCCACATATCAGTAGCCTCCCCTGCCGATTCCCACGCACCTTTCTCCTGCACTCGCTTGATCAACTCAGAGATCTTCTCCCCACTTAGTCTCCTCCACCGGATTTGTGTGTTGCCGCCCGTAGCTCTCCTATGTTTCACCCACCTGATCATGACATCCATCACCAGTAGCTTGTGTTGGGTAGTGATGTTCTCACTAGGAATTACTTTAACATCCTTGCAGAGCACCCGATCACACCTGCGCATGAGAAGATAGTCGATCTGTGTCGTCCCCACTCCACTAACAAAAGTAGCCAAATGGTCGTCTCGTTTAGGGAAACAAGAGTTAGCAACCAGCATATCACTCGCTCTGGCAAACTCCAAGAGTGAAACTCCCGCTGGGTTCCTACTGCCAAAGCCAAAGCCACCGTGCACGTCCTCGAAGCCCTCGGCCGAGTCTCCAATATGGCCATTGAAGTCGCCTCCAATGATGACTTTCTCAGTCAGTGGGAGACCGACAATCACCCCATCCAAGGCGTCCCAAAACTCCCTCTTAACTTCGTCTGCCAAGCCAACATGCAGGGCATAAGCACTCACGACATTGATTGCACACCCACCCAAAACCAACTTGATAAGCATTAGGCGATCACTAATCCTCTTCACCTCCACCACAAACTCTCGCAGCTCCGGCGCCACCAGAATACCGACTCCATTCTTTCCCCTAGCTAAACCTGAATACCACAGTTTGAAACCATCAACTTCTCGTGCCTTAGTGCCCACCCACCTGGTTTCCTGCACGCACGCCACCTGAATCCTTCTCCTCTTGAGAACTTGCACCAACTCAATTGACTTATCTGTGAGGGTCCCTATGTTCCATGAGCCGAAACACACATGGGACACTACCTTACCCCCCCGTGAACCTCCCACACCCGTCCCAATCCCGGGATATGACCTTAGAGCTACATTGCTAACCCACGCCACTACACCTACACACCAGCACCAAAAAGTAAAGCAGAGACGAGAGTACTAACACAATAAAAGTAGTTACAAACCACCGCTAAAGAAGGGAAGAGCAACAATACAAATAACAATAAAAGAGTACGGTAGTAGCACAAGTAGTTAGCAATCAAAGCAACACCTTAACACACACACTAGAATGAGACGAAAGAAGCCACGGTAAGGCAAAAATAGCAATCAAATCACATAAGAGTGCTAAAATAGTAATAGAAGTAATGAAAACAAGGAGAATGTTTGGGGGCAGGAGCGGCTGGGTTGGGGCTGGGT